CCCCCACAAAAAACCCACATAGGACAAAAGATGTTAGGGTAGAAGAATTCACTGACATACGTGACACAGACAGAACCTCTCTCTGATTCTCACTTCTGCGAAATGATGTCATTGTTTTCAGTTTAACGTCGAACGTATTGGTGATCTGTCATTAAAAATTCCTTGTATGAACAAAAAATAAAGACTTTGAATTTTTATTTTTTTTAAAGCTCGATAGATGGAAAGTGGCAACCCCGATTGGCTCATAGTACTTATTATGTTACAATTTTATTACAATAACATTTTGAAATAATAATTTAAACAAATAATAATAATAAAAACAATAACAAATACATGTATCATAAAATTTATGTTACTATCATCATCATTATTATCAATATTATTATTTTTGTTATTATTTCTATTACTATCACATCTTGCTGTTGGTATCATTATTGTTGTTAGTTTAATTATTATTACGTGTATTATTAATTCCTTCATCTTTCACCTGAGGCAAGAAACCGGTTTTTATTTGTACTAACATTAGGGTGCTCTCTGAATTAATAACGATGACATTAGGGTATTTTCTTTTTATTTAGTGCAGTTAGAATGATAAATAGTAGAGGATTATCGAAACAGTTAAATCGATTATATTACGGTAAGAAAATAAAAAGGGCTGGTTGGTTGGTTTGTTTTTGTTTGTTTTGTGTGTGGGAGGGGTGGGTGGAGATAGGGTTGCACGGGGTAAATGGGAGGCACTCAGGCAAGCAACTACACATCAGACTAGGCTACACAGCAGCATCAGCAACAACAGCAACAGCAGCAGTTCTACACCACTCACTAGTCTTACCGGAGAAGAAGGACCACAGCGCTCGGGGGATGGAGAGGGGAGGCGGAGGAGGGGGAGCTGGAAGAATCAGGGTGAGAGTTACACAACAATGACATCACTGGCGACACGGATAACCTTAACACACTCGACACATTACTGACACGGATAACCTTAACACACTTGCGACACACCCACGACTCACGACACACCAGCTTGCCTGTGTTGTAGTGCGAGTTTCTGTTGTTGCAGGATTATTTGGGGGCCCTGGCAAGAGGCACTGCTGGATTTATTATTATGTACCAAAAGCAAACATTATAATATATTATCTTTGGTGTGTGTATATATGTGTGTGTTTTTGTGTGTGTGTTTGTGTGTGTGTGTGTGT